ATCCATCCATCCATCCATCCATCCATCCATCCATCCATCCATCCATCTATCCAATCTTTCTTTCTCTTTACCCGCTTCTTCCTTTTCGGGTCACTGGGGTCACTGGTGCTCATATCCAGCCATCACTGTGCAAGAGGTGGGGACACCTTGGACCAGTCTCCAGTCCATCACAGGGACACATAGAGACAAACAGCCAGTCACTCTCTCACTCACACCATACGGACAATTTAGAGTTACCAATCAGCCTAACATGCATGTTATCATGCATGTGTTCTTGGTCTGTGGGAGGAAACCAAAATACCCGGAGAAAACCCACGCATGCACAAAGAGAACATGCACACTCCTCCCAGAAAGGCCCCCAGCCAGGATTTGAACCAGAGCGACCAGCTCGCTGAGAGGCAGCAGCTCTACCAACTGTGCTACTGTGCTTCCCATTTCTGAGTGCTAAGTGAGCGAATATAAACGCAAACTATCAGTTATGTTAAAGTTCCTAAAGATTCACGACTAAAGCTCTGCATAGAGAAATAAAAACAGGCATTCAGGTTTGTCCGTGTCTGATAATCTTTCATGATTCCCAGTTGTCGCAGAATAGTGCATCAGCCAGAGTCATGTCCTCATTTTTACACAGAATTAAAAAGAAAATACATTTTATTTTACATTGAATTGAAATATAATGTTTGTGGAAGCTGATTGCTTTTTTAATTTTTTAGATACGACACAAGGACAAAATAACACTCATAGTAATGAAATAAAATAACAAAATCGAGTAGGTAGCAAAAAACACTATGAGCACGCTAAAAACAAAACATCTGTCAGTTCCTCAGTGACGGCAGAGCAGCCACGCTGTTGCCTAACAAAATGTCTGTTGGTATTTAAAGCAAATAAAACAATATATATATCAATAGAAATATGTGAAAACATCTAAGAAAAATAGTTTTGACTGTAATAAATGGATTAAGTGCATTACTCCCAGTTCATAAACAAACAGTCCTGAAGAAAACAGCAGAATTCATGAAATTGTTTGCACACGTTATCACAACTTACATTACATTGTTTTTTTTATATCTCCTGCTGCCAAAGGAGCTAATGTTTTTGCTTGTTTCTCTGTGTGTATAGTTGTCTGTCTTGTTAGCAAAATATCTCACGAATGAGAGGATGGATGTTGCTGAATCTGTCATGAAGTAATAAATAAATATGACTTAATCTTTGGATGTACATCTAAAACTGATTACCTTTAAAGTCAACCTCATTCAAGATGGCCACCACAGCAAATAGAACTTTGCAAACTCACAAGTGGCTGTAACTCTGTCAGTTCTACAGCTACTGAGCTAACGCGGTGTGGTTGTAGCTGAGACTCATCCTGAGAGCATCCATAATGTCATTTACAAGATTTGAGCAAAGTGACTAAACCACAAGATGATTTGTCTGAAACTTTGGCATGAAACACAACTGGTGATGTACATTACTTCACTTAATGCAATATGTTCAGGTTTTTTTTTTTTACGCCTATGTTGATTTTTTTTTGTTAAACTAGATCATGAAGTACAACAGAGAAAAGATTGTTGTTGGTTCACATCTAAAAGTTTGATGGAGGAGGAATGGTTGAAAGTTTTTAATTTTAACAGGTTTGCTGCAGGGCGGCACGGTGGCTCAGTCGGTAAAGCTGTTGTCTCTCAGCAAAAAGGCTGGCGGATCGAATCCTGGCTGTGGACCGCTCTGGAAGGAGTTTGCATGTTCTCTTTGTGCATGCGTGCATTTTCTCTGGGTACTCCGGTTTCCTCCCACAGACCAGAAACATGCATATTAGACTGATTGGTAACTCTGAATTCTTATTAGGTGTGAGTGAGATTGTTTGTCATATTTGTCTCTATGTGTCTCTGTGATGGACTGGAGACCTGTCCAGGGTGTCCCCTGCTCCTCACACAGTGTCTGCTGGATATGAACACCAGTGACCCCTGCTACCCCAAAAGGAAGAAGCGGGCAAAGATGATGCATGGTTTTCTATAAAGAACAGTATTTCTTCTACCTTTAGCTGAGTGCTTTTAATTCTCCTATGTCAAACTTTTGTGTCTCAGCGTTTCAGGAAAATATCCAATGTTGGGGTAATGTTAATGCTGGTTTTCTCATAAAACAAGGACCTTTAGGATGAGCACATCTTTTGTTTGTACAAACACCAGCTGCTGCATGTGTAAAACCCAACAGAACGCCAAAGGCGAACATGGACTCCCCCTTCCTTCTTGGCATCAGTCATGTCTCCTCCCTAAAAAAATACACCTTTTCTTAAATTCCAGCTGCACTCATTTAGAAACTTTACAGTCCCAGAAGACAGGGTATAGCTACAGGCAATGACTTGTGTGAGTGCCACAAAAATCCCCAAACTAAAGTTTCTGAGTTGTAACTAGTTGATCTGGACAGAGTTTTCAATTTTTTTTTAGTTTTAAAGTATTTTTTTACATTCAGGTTGCAGGCTTGTTGCATCATGCTGATCTCTAAGGGCTGGGCAGAAACTGTTGGATGGATTTTTTGAAAAGACCCAGAGCCAAGCCAACTCCTCTCGTCACTGACGCATTGGTCTTACAACCCCCTTTTCCACCCACACTGTCTGCTGCAGGATGTTGTGCATT